ATTAAAGGTGTACATGACACTTCGCTGAATCATATGGCCATCAAGAATACGTTGCTTTTTGCTGATGTGGATTTTGCCAAGATACGCATGTGTAAAAGATTTGTAACAGCATACGCGCTCAGGTTGCCTTTTCTTTATTTTTAACCACTCTTTATGGCAAACACACATTTTTTTTCTAATTTAGCCGCACGTAGGGAGATAAAGAGAGTATTCTTCTTGCGCATGTGTGTATATGTATATTTGTGTGGATGTGAATACGTAATGCGCTTGATCACATGTGGTTTATCTTTAAACAGTAACAAACTTCATGAACCTTTTCACGCCTTAAGATCAAGCCAATATCCTCTGATATTTTTTTCTTATTAATATACATGAATCGATTCACATTCCTCTGATCCTTTTTGTTTGATCTGCAGCGTACACTAGGTCGAGATTTATTCGTTTTTCATTGCAAAACAAAAACGAAAGACACACAAGCATTCCCTTTTTACACAAGTTTCACGAGATCTTTTCTGAAAAGTGAAAAACAAAAAACAAAAGATTATTTTATTCCAACTGAAAGTACATTTGTAATTTTCACCATGCTTCATTAATTCTTAGTTTTGTATTTGTTTTCTGCATGAGTTCATTTAGAGGTGAAACTTTGGCTTGATTTTTACTTGCGTAAACTTGATTTCGTTCTCGTACGATTTGAGTTTGAATGGGGTGTGGTGATCAGCATGTGTTTCATCTCAGATGATACAGAATAGACTCTGTGATGTCAGAGAAGCCAGGTGCAGCGTTGAACTAGAATAACCCCTGAGCCGCTGATCACAGGCCGACGTGATCGGACAAGCTGCACTCGGAAAATGCAACGATTGAGAAAAAGCCGCACAACATAGATATATATATGTATAGACACTCACTCCAGCGGTAAGGATGCAGTTTGAGGCAGATTAGGGACTCAGAGCCACACATGCACTAACACTTACACACACACACACACACACACGCGCGCACACACACACACACACACACAAATGGATTGGCTGATATTAAATGAGAAAATTCAGAGTTGAATAAAATTCAATATTATGCTGATTTCCTAAGCGCCACTTAGATGTAGCACAAGGCTGAAAGTATGGGGCATCTAGTGAGGATCGAACTCATTACTCAGTCGTAATTTTTCTTGCGAGACAAGCTTGCTAATCATTACATACGTTGTGCTCTCCAGTCTTCATCAGGTGTATACCGATTTGGGTAACCTACAAGGAATTCCTAACTTTATTTTATCTACAAGACTAGATTATTCTTGTTCTACCGCCCCTATCTAGGGATATTTTGTCTAGTTCTTATTTTTTTAATACTGCTCTGTTATTGCTTGTCCCGTCTCCACTGAGTTCAAATACACATTGCTCGACCCAGGGATTGAACTCGCAATTACTGTCATTAAATTCACAAAGCAACGTGTAAATCATGATAAGTCTTCATCCCAGAAATTCAGAGAGCACGATACTTCGTTATAATTTCTTTCTTTCGTTGTCCATTATTGGAAAAGATCCACATCTCGTCACACACACAAACACACACACACACACACACATGCTTACTCTCACTCATATATATGCATATACATCTTTTTTAATTATTTCACCCTAAGCAAGGCAATAAAGCCACTAAGACGCAAAGGGTTACTAAATGTTAGACAATATGAGGAAAACTACTATTAAGGGGAGAGGACAATAAAAGAATATGAATTAAGAAGACAGACGATAACGATTGACATTGTATTTAAATCTTTTCAGATTAAAGTTGGCTCGAAAGCATGAAGGCGGAAGAGAGTTCCACATGCCAGAAGTGCGAGAGAAGATACTGCTAGCATAGAACTAATGGTTCCATCTAGCCATTTCAACTGTAAAATGACGAGACCTTGCCGCCAATCTAGTATAATTTTCAGGAGAAAAAGGTAAAAATAATTATTACTATCTACATATATTTGCGGCACGCACACACACTCATACATAAGTAGACACATCCGCAAACATCTCACCGTTGCATGAAAACAAACTCACGCGCCTGATATTGTAGAAGATAAAGCAATTTGTCTTTTTCTCTTGTAACACGAATATTGATATTTTTATAAGGGTTTAACGAAAGATTTGTTTATCAAACTTGTCTGAGCCTGGTAGATGTTTTTAATCTCTGCAATCAGAGAGGCATACACATTTATTGATACATGTGAATATCGTGCAAACACAAATTTTTACGAACACGTATGTCACATATGGCAGACACAAACACACACAAACACACATACATATACAGACGGAAAGTGAACTTGTAACGCATTGACGGACAGTGTTGACCTATAACTCAGGATACGCATTGCTAGTGGGTAGTAGATATTCAGATAAAAAAAAACGTAGTACAAATGCAGAGCAAGATCGACACATTATAGTATCACTAGCGGTAGACGGACCAGAACAAATCAGAATGTTAGAACGAGATGTTAAAAATCGCTTATTTGCAATATGGCTACACGCATGCGTACAACTGAACAAACCGATATCCGCCATAGCGCTAAAGGATTAAATGTAATGTTCAGTGATGTGAGAAAGTTTTGCATTCATGTTTTCTATGGCCGTTTATGTATGTAGTGTAGACCTGAGGTGTGATATCTTTTACGCGTGTAATGTAGAACTGGATTGGGATATCTTTTAGGGAGTATTCACTCATCGTATATAGACCCACTTTTATCGGTATCCTGATATGTATTCCATAATCGTAAACTATCGCTCATCTTTGAGCTGCTTTTGAAAAATAAAGCAAGAAACACGCACACACACAAAATGGAAAACGTTGAACATCGCCATGTACATCCAGAAAGTTCTTCAATCCTTTTTGGTGTCATTCTTGCAACAGAAAAGCAATAAGCTGTTCCAGAAGGATAATGACTGCCTATATCATGTCGGTGCTACTCGACACGCGCTGCAAATTGTTTTGGTACCCATCCTAACTAAAACGCTCTCTAGACTTGTCCTCCATGAAAAATGCGTAGTATATGATCGGACTACGCTTGACTTGATCAATTAGCCCGCCTATTACAGGTGCAAGACGTCTGGTATAAAGTATTGAAGGATGATATTCGATCGTATGTATGCAAAAGTAGAGGGGGGTATATCATGTTGTTGAATTATTTTTGTACCTTTTGTACTGATCAGAATATGTTATCCCGATTTATTATCTGTACGTTTAATCACGAGGAAATTGAAATACACATTCAGTGTTATTTCCCGTTGGTTTATAAAATAAACGCACACACACACGCGCACACACGTACAGAGACTCAAGTATATAATTATTTAGTTTTTTTTAACGCGAGAAGGGAAATGAATAGAAATTAGAAAGAAAGTATGAATCAACTAATGAACAAATAGAACAAAAAATCGAAAGGAATGAACAGTTTTCTTAATAAATGGGAAAAATACGCGAAATAATAAACAGAAATAAACAAAAGAAAATGAAAAACGTGCCAAAACTTCACAAAAAGATTATATCATGAAAGTGAAGAAAGAAAGCATAATTGAACGACTGAATTCTTTCCCAGAAGAATGAAAAGTAGGAAAAAAGAATTGAATTGAAAATCTGGAAAAGAAAAGGCCAGGTTAAAAGGCAGCTTTTTTTTTTTTTTTTTTTTTAGACAGGCTGATTCCTATCCATTTATAAGAATGGGAAAATAAGATATTGTTTGATTTATTATTCCTCACATGCTGGGTTTTGTCCTATTTTTACTTTATTAAATATTGAAAAAAGAAAGAAAGAAAATTAAGGAAAAAGGAATGAAAAAAAAGAAAGATAACTAAAAAAAGAAAGAAAGCCAGAAAGAAATAAAGAAAGAATGAAAAGAAGAAAAAAAAAACGGAAAAAGAAAGAAATGAAAAAAGAAGAGAGAAAGAAAGAATCAAAGAAAGAAAGAAAGGAAAGAATATAAACAAAGAAAAACATGTAAGAATAGAAAAAGGTTAAAATTGCTTATGAATTTGGTGACATAATAATTGTGTGTTCAATCCCTGTGCAGGGTATTTTGTACTTGAACTCAGTGGAAATAGGGCGAGCAATAACCGGGCAAGACAAAAAGTAAGAATTAGACGAGGTATTCCCAAATATGGGCAATGGAACGAGAATAGTCTGCCACATTGATTAAATAAAGGGTTCAGTTCAGAATTCGATATAGGTTACCTAGATCAATATGCATCTGATGATAACCGGAGGACCCAGCGATAGAAACGCGGTGATAACAATAACAAAGATGAAGACAATAGTCTAAACGTAAATAATGTAAAAAATACTTCTTAAGGAATAGTAAAAAAAAAAAAAAATCTTTCGTTTGTATTTCCAATATCGTTTGATATACATATATAAATCACATTTTTGTCTGTTTACATTTCATCAGTGGTCACGCTTATGCAAATGAATATATAAACTTAAGGGAACCTTATTTGGCTTTGAGTATCCGACCCGGAGATAGGCAAAAAAAAAAAAAAAAAATGACATAACCATTTGGACACCGATTTGCTGCTAAATGTAAGATTAAATTAACTTAAAATACTAAGTTAACAATTTGTAAAATCAGTTCATTACATAACTTTGTCAATTTAAAAGAAATGTTCATGCGTTATGCTCATTTAAATGAACGAAACTATTTTAAACCGTTTCATGGAATTTTAATTACCTTTTAATCGTCGCTTTAGAGTTTAAAATCTATCACCGCTTTGATTTTTTTCAACAAATAATTCATTTCGGATATTAATATTTTTAGAATAAAAAATGCAATAACATTTTTTGCAAACTGTAAATAAAATCTTTTAATAAATTCAGTTTCTTCTTATAACGGTTGGTAGCTGAGCATGAAGTCGAACTAGCTTAAAAGAAGAGACATAATAATGTCACGATAAACACCCTTGACCTCATGCTTTTCTATCTACCGTTGAGGTTAACTATGATTAGAACAATCTATCTAAATGATCATTATCATAATTACGCTGAAAAGACCAGACGATGACCGTTGCTCAAATGACACTACGAAAGTATCTATCGCTAGAGTTTTGCTCTTTCTTTCTTTCTTTCTTTTCGTTTTGGCTATTAATTATTTATCTTTAAATTTATATTTAATATATTTATAATTGTTTAAATATTTTCTTGGGGGTACAAGTTTTTTTTGTAGCTCTTAAAATATAAATGTAAAAAAAAAGAGCAAGGAGAAAAAAAAAAGTTACCGTAGATGGTAAATTGAAAAACAAAAAAAAAAAACGGGTTTCGTTCCCCAGTCACAGTTTTCTTTTTTCTTTTTTTTTTTGATTTACAGTTGGTTGTTCTTGTTTAGAGGCATATTAATCTCTAAGGGTTATTTAATGCCAAAATTTGAATATTTTGTACGCATTTTTGTTTTACATAATACTGGCATTAGTGATACAAGTCTTATTAATTAACCCATAGCTGGGGGAGTAGAGGTGGATTCATAATTTCCCCAAAGGTATCTGCACGTAATTGAATGTAACGATGGAATTGGAACTCGGCTCTCCGATTAACAATTCCGGGCCATTATCCATTACACCTTCCGCACATCCAAGCTTACAGCATCTGGTATTCCCAAACGGTCAACCATATAGGTACTGACTAGGTTCAACATTGCTTAACTTTGAGGATCGTACGGGAACCAATGTTTTAACGTGATGCGGCCGTAAGCCCTGCAGAATTATGTATGCTAGATTAATTAAAATACCTTAGCTGTCAACACCCATGGCATTTCCATGAACCAATTTGGTAAAAATAAAGTGCAAAAGGCTAGAAATGCATAAGTAAAAAATAAAAATGAGTCGAAAAATGGCAAGAAATAAAAATGGAAAAAACGTAGAGAAGAAAAGAAAAAGAAAGAGAAGAATAGAATATAGAATTTGAGTTGTTGATATGCTGCGTCCAGCGATAATAGGAAGTTTCGGCTTTTCCTTTTGGCTATTCACATAACTTATCATGCAAGATTTATTGCCGCAATCATAAAGTAAGTCTTTGCATTCTTTCATCCTTTCGGTGAGGCTGGATAAACCTGCAATTGCCCAGTTCTCTATGTAATGCAATTATAGCCTTTCACCTTTTGGATCAATGCATTATAAACATCGCGTGGGCTCACAAACAGAGTTCATATCAATGTTTGAATTGAGATGGAGTCAAGATTTCGAACAGTGATGCCCGTGGCAGATAAATCACATCGCCCGAAGATGTTTGGTGTTGCATGAAATTCTAGAGAATAAGCCTACGCCACGTCACAACACACGCGTCGACATTGAGTAGGAAATCTGAGCTAAAATCAAGCAGAAAGCAAAAAATGACATGGCATTTTTTATTTCCAAAAAGCTATGAAGTTTACTTAAGATTTACAATTTTTAGGCTATTTTGTCACCCAATATTTCATTGCTCTTCGAACTGAAATACATTTCCCTACAAGAAATTCTTACGCGACACCAAATTTATTCGTCCATGCTTACAATATTGCTGCCACTTATGGTCCGGTGCCATATTTAAGCGCAGTATTAGACGAACGTCGAGATCTCATCACTTGACAGTTGAGCTGGCTCGATGTAACTGTAAGTTCTATACTAACAGTTTCTTCTATTCGCGCTTCTCGCTTTTGCAAAAGTTTAAATTCAATGTCAATCGCTATCTACTGTTCTCCTAATTAATCTTCCCTTTTCCTGCTCATTATTAATGTTTTGTTCGTAATTCTTCCACACTATATAACCCCTTGTGTTTTAATGGCTTTACTGCCTTGCTTGGGGTGAAATGATTAATATATATATATATATATATATATATATATATATATTGTCATCCACAGACAGACTGTTTCGCTGTATCACAGCTCATCAGTGTGGCTAGACATCCAGTTGCCTCTAGCTAGGATCGAAACCCGATTGAATTGGCGTCAGTCGGGGGATTCTACCACTAAGCCGTTGGCGCACGGCAGGGATGAATGTGAATTTAAGTGTATTTATTTTTAGATAAACACACAGTGACTGAGAGAACTCAATTCGATTTACCGAAGAGTCTTGCATTATTAGCCATAATAGTCACTGTTTACAAACTCACATTTCCTCCCCAGAGAGCTCAACGGAAATAAATTTTTCAGGAGCATATATATATATATATATATATATATATATATATATATATATATATATATATATATATATATATATATAACTTATGAACATATGAAAAGGGGTCTAATAAAACAAGCATTTGTTATACAATAAATATGATCTGAGTACATGTGATTGTGCTTCATTTAGTGATGACTATTAATCACAGTGATCGAACATTATAGAACGAAAGATTTAGATAAATAAGTACCTAATAAGAAAGTGCCACATTAGGAGTTATTGGCACGGTGGAATAATGGGTAGTGGCTCGGATTGAGGAATCGGAGAGCCGAGTTCAAATTCCATTACATCCACTTACGTGCTAATACCCTTCGGAAAGATATAAATCCTCTCGCCAGCTATGGGTAAATAGCAGGACACACGTGGTTCTATAGCCTTGGATGGCTACCGCAGGAAAAAATCTGCCTCGTCAGTCATATATCGAAAACATTTATCACGCATAGCGCGTAACTGACTGTAAGTAATTCAATAATAAATATCGTATTTACTGTAAGTTAAGACGCTTTTTTCTTGAAAACAATGCCCTAAAATTACCTTTAGCACTGACAGATCAAGTTGTAAAGAGGAGTTTGCCAACCATGAGGAATTCCAATCTCGTGATAAAAGCAATCACGGACGCCAGACATGACATAAGCCCACATTTATCATTCATATCAAATAGATACGGACTCATACCATAGATATAGTTTTTTTTTTAATAACTGACAATTCAAATAGTAATACTACCGTGATACAAGAATGCAGGACCCATCAGGCTAGGTAGAAATTTTAGAAGTCGGTAAAAGAAAACCCCTTACATAAGAGCTGGTTAAATATTCAACTCAGATCATAGGATATCTAATATCCATATCAGCGTTTATACTTCGATAAAGTCAGATATGTAAAAAGTTTATAAATGTTGATAAACATTGGCCAAATAATACCATGTAAGTATCTATCGTTATATTGTTACAGGTTATAATTTTCTGATCGATATTTTAAGCAGTAAGAGTTAAATTAAAAATCCAACGAAAATGAAGAAACACAGTTTTAATGTACCGTATTTTCTTGTGTCTAATACGACCCCATGTTTCTGAAGTTAAAAACGGGAATTAAATTACATCTTTGAGTATAATACGCCCCCCCTTAGTACAGCCAAATCTATGTACGTTGTACCATATAACCCATTAAAATTTCAGTGTCGTATGAGATTTAAAATTTTTCAAGTACCGGTAGACGTTGTTTTATATAGATATATAACAATATCGGCGTGGGCCATCCCGAGGCGGTGTAATGGTTAACAAGCTTGTCTCGCTAGAACAATTACGACCGAGTAATGAGTTCGATCCTCACTGGGTGCCCCCTAATTTTGGCCTTATGTCACATCTAAGTTACGCTTGGAAAATCACTATCCGGGCACCTCGAGGCGGTGTAATGGTTAGCAATCTTGGCTCGCTAGAACAATTACGACTGAATAGTGAGTTCGATCCTTACTTGGTGCCCCCTAATTTCGGCCTTGTGCCACATCTAAGTTACTCTTGGAAAATCACTATCTTGGGATTATTTACGTATCTATTTTGAATTGTTCCATTATTCTCATATGGTTTGACGTTTCCAAACTGAATATTTTGTGTTAACAAACGGAAGAATATGAAACAACAACTTCACAGCATGGGAATTACTACCACATTTTTCAACTCTATGAGCTGGGATGAAGTCGTAGTATCTGTTCTTTCCTTATTTTAGTTGGGACAAGGTGATCGAAACCCGGGGATTCCAACCGTATGGCAGGATCTTCATTGCACGAAAAGAGATTGCGTCAGTGTTATATCGATGCTAGCGGGGCACTGATCGAAGGGACTGTGCAATTTTTGACTTTGACCCTTGTGGATATTTATGTATGTGGGTACCCCACATAAAAATGGCCTTGTGTCACATCCTACTTTAGTGGGGAGATATGGTAAAAAATCACCCTATTTTTCAAGCAGACAAACCTAAAAAAAAAGTACCTAATTTATACAATAGTTAGACCTTTGTTCTAACATTAATGTTATCAAAACATGAGATATCTTGTGTATTCCCTTTATTCATTTTTAATCAATTTTGATTAATTTCCTGTCTTTCAGACAAAAGACATCCAATTACGCTGATTCCCAAAGAACAAATATTGCTGACATATCTAACACCTTTTGTAAACAATTGTTATCAGCTCATGCCTATTTTGTGTTCTAATTGAATGTATTTGCAATCTTGCTGTTTCAAATAAGTGAGTTTAAGCTGAGCAAATCTTTTTAAAAACCTGTACAATACGACCCCCTTTTTGCCTTTAATTTTTGTTCAAAATTCCTTGTATTTTTCACTAAAAAATACAGTAGATCACCAACCACTTTATTTGTAGAAGAAGTGATAAGATTGATTAATGAATTTTCTAATCAAGATTTTATCAAAATGAAACATGTGTCAAAAAGCAAGAAAGAATAACCCAGAAGATAGGAAGAGTCGATGGGCGATTCGATCCGAGAAGAAAAAGGTGCTTATGACCAAATAAGGAGACAAAGAGATTTGTACAAAGTTTTAGATGACGATAAACTACATCCGGCAGAAACTTCACTGATAGGGAAGTTTTGGGAAGCGTGGAACCACAACTTAATTGCTGTTGCTCCCATGTCTACCCAGATCTAGGGTAGTAGCACCTTTTAGGGTCCCAGTTATGGGCAAATAGTTATCTCTTAAACTGGGGTTAAACCCCTATGAAAGTATAAAAAATTATAGTAAAAATACCGGCAATACATTTTCATAGTAAAAAAAATTACGAACAATATAATACATTTTTTAAAAAAATTACCAGCAATACATTATTGTAAAAAAAGAAAAATTACCGGCATTTAAAGTCTTTCTTTTATCTAGTCATACTATACAGTATCTTCACAAACACCAACCCCAGTCACGTAATACAGACTGACGGTTACGCTTCATGTGTACAGCAAGAATATCAGCCTTATTACCACATTTTGTGTACTATTGAAACAAACCAGTTAGCTCAATAAGCCTACCGTTAATTCCAAATATAACATCTTAACATACGGTAAGATATATGTTTTGAATTGAAATTCTGTAATCGATAGTCAATATGGTTATAATCAGTCAGGCAGCTGCCCTCGTCTAACTAAAGACTTATTCTCAATTTCCAATCCGTGTTGCATGAATGAGTGTCTTTATGAGTAACAGAAGTAAGATGTAAGAAATCTTGCTAAAAAAATTAATAACTGACAATACTTCATCTAACAGATTCAAATAGTATTACCACCGTGATACAAGAATCCAGGTCCCATCAGGCTAGGCAGAAATTTTAGAAGTCGGCAAAAGAAAACCACTTACGTAAGAGCTGGTTAAATATTTAACAAGCTTGTCTCGCTAGAACAATTACGACTGAGTAATGAGTTCGATCCTCACTGGGTGCCCCCTAATTTTGGCCTCCATTTTTGTAAAAGAAATTACTAATGCTCCCAACTAAATTAAATTTCGGCATTAAATGACCCATAAGGTGTTGATATGCAAACTAAGCAAACAATTAAAATTGTTTACAGTTTAAATAATTCACAAAGAGAAAAGTCGTAAAACAAATTAATGAATCTTTTATTCAACCAGTTGTTAATACCAGGAGACAAACATGTGATAACAAACAGTAGTCTTACTATTAAAAATAAGTTTTTAACTTTTTACATACAAGATTATTTAGAAAAAAATATCAAAATTAAATGACCCAATCGGCTGATCTGCAATAAAACAAATCAAACTAAACCAAACAAAGATTTGGAATTGGGTCGATAAAAAAATATGCGTCGATCAACCTTTAAAAATAACGCAAAGAAAGTCGAACAGCAAAACAACAGGAAAAATGTTGAATGTCTGATATTTTTGGAAAATGACTCGGGTAAGTTAATATTTTAAGTCTTGGACGTCAGTGGTTTAAACCAAACTTCGGCGATTTAATGAATTTCTCTAGATTTGTAATATAAGCGGGATATTTCGGAGCTCAATTCATCATCGCTTGACTCGAGGAAGAACATCGTTCAAAACCCAACCGAATCAACTCAAGTGTCCGATCAAAGACACGAAAGTCCGGCGAAAGGTAATATAGCCAAGAGAAAAAAACGCAGCTCTGTGAGTTCAGATTTAAAAACCCGATTCCTTTGTTCCTAGATCAAACCACATTTTTCCATTAGTGATATCTACCCTTTGTTTTTCGGTAAAATAAAATATCCTATTAATAGGATTATTAAGAAATTTTATTTTTCTGCATAACAGACGTGAAAGTGATATATTTGTACGGAAAATAGAATAGACGGGCCTAGTTCCAATTCCGACCGGTGTGTTCATATTCCACTAAAGAATGAACCAATTTGTTCTTTCCCTAATCAGCTATACGTAAAATAATTGGGCAGACTGTGTTCTCTAGCCTTGGTAGGGTAGCCAGTCTAGAAAAGGGACAACTATGAATTCTCAACCAGTGGATACGGTAATGGGAACTAACCCCACTTCCTTGTCTAGGAACAGTTTTGGCAATGCATAGTTCATTGATATTAAAGAAAAGGAAAATGTGGAGGTCAACAATCACTTACGCCCTGAAAGGATTTAAAAGTTAGTTAAACTGATTTATCTCTGGCGTGTGTTATTTGAAATTAAATCCAAGAGAGATCCAGGGCAAATCTCCGCGGTTTAAACTAGAAGTCGAACACGTTGGGTCCGTTTTCTGTGCAGATAACCGTTACGCCACTCCTTTGATTTACTAGGCTTAATTTAGTCTGACATAATGCTGCAAGAAAATATTTTGACATTTCATGTATTATAGTGCTTAGATACAACTGTTAAAATATTTTCTAAAAATATAAAGTACCATGTCCCTTTGTAGGCAATCATAGCCTTCTAGATGCGGCCATATGAAAGATAGTGGAGTGCTTTTCTCCACATTTTCAGCCTTGCGCTGCACGCATTATGATTATTTTAATTATAAAAATAATTAATAAGTGCAATACTTAGAGCGGAACATTTAAAAATGTCTGATTAGATCCATCAACTAAACCGTATATAATAAGAGAGATCTCTCTATATTTCTGAGATGAGGCATCGTAATTATTTACACTATTTACATTGTTCAGGCTGTCGTCCTCAACTTTTTTGCCATATTCACGACATTTCGATCGTTGTACGCGCCGGCCTTCTTCAGGAGATCGGAATTTCGAACCGAAGCCTTTATTTCATCCATCGGTGTAGATTGTTCCAGTTTCGCGTGATATGCCTCTTCCGAATATCTCAGTATAAGTTATCTCCCTTTTAACACAACTCATTCAAGTTTTTGTTCACCTCTGATGTAACGAGGTATTGACAACTCTTTGGGTCAAATTACTAGATTCAACCAACGCTTTTATCCACTAGGCCATGAGAGAGCTTATAGACGATAAAATACGATATTATCATTTATACGAAGTGTTGAAAAATATTGATATTTACTAAAGCAAATTTAGTACACATCACGTCACAAGTACCGTAAGCAATTAGGGTCGTAGAAAGACCGGACCATGTCTATTGCAACCATAGCAGCACAACACTGGCACTAAAGACAATATAACCTGATGGAGCCTATACCTTTACATACTGATTTGGAATTCACAGTTTTCCTTTTCTTAGTCTGGTTACCCCTACAGGGCGAGGAAGCTCCTTCAGCTCTGCTATTTAACCCATAATTGGGACTGTCCAAGAGACGGAGTGTTACCTTTCCTAAATGTATTTGTGCGAAAGTCGACTAACAACCTTGACCAAAATTCTGTTGCACTAGGTATTTACTCGGTCTCCTCACTAAGATGAGTTGTGACCTAAGGTCTTTTTTTAAGATGGGGTCTCGAGAATCAGGAACAAAAATTGACCGCAGCCCCCACCCCCAAACGTCGGTTGCACTGGACTCGGTGCGAGAACCGATCCCTCTCTCTGCTGCTAACTGTTACACTATCCAATTTAAGTGGAACACAAAACCAGATAAATTGAACATTTTGTTACGACAATCCTCCTAGTGGGTAGGACTTCCCGTCTAAAAGATCAGCCGTCTAAATTGTTGTTCCTTACTAAGAGTGGTGGTGGAAAAATTATCAGAAATACTTTCAGATTAAAAAAAAAAAACTTAAAAAAAACTGAGTAAATTTGTCAAGAAAAGGAGAGTGAAATAAATAATGTTGATACTAAACACAGCTTGAAGAATAATAAAACCCTTAATCTGCTTTCAAAATAAAGACGAGCGCGAATTTTAAAATAGATTTCAGCCACATAATTTAATCAATATTTTGCGTTTATTTATTATTAATTTTGATGAATATTTCAGTCGGGATGGTATGTTGACGCAACAGTTGACTTTTTTTTTAATCGATTTCACCCCATGCAAGGCAGTAAAGCCACTAAGACACAAGGAATTACTGAGATTGAAAGAATAAAAAACAAACAAAAAAAAAAAAAAAAAGAAACGTTGAACTGGACCGGGAACAATAGAAGAGAAATGAGAAAGACACTTGATAACGATTGACATTGAATTAAAAGTTGACCGGAAATCATGGAGCCAAACAGAGTTCCACGAGCGAGAAGTGCGTGAAAAGAAACTGTTAGCTTAGAACTTACGATTACATCAACAGCAAATTGATGAGACCTTGTTGCCAATCTAGTACTGCGCTTAAGGCAAGATTTTTGTGTTCTCGTCTCGACGGTGATTTAATTTTTATTTCCGATCCGCGACGCTTATTAATGGCCGGAGAATGACGATTTGAAAGTTGCGATAAAAATCAACTGAAATTAAGATGAGTGATATACTTGTCAATAAATACTAACAATTATTAAGGCTTCATCTAGGAAATTAAAAAAAATAATTAGTAGTTTAGTTGTAATTTGTGTGTTTTTTGTATTTCATCAATCATCGACTTCTATGTCTGTCTCTCTCACTTTGTCCCTTTTTCTCTATCAGGCTCTCAGTTTCTACTCCTCCCTATCTCTCAGTATTTCTCTCAGTCTATTTTTATCTCCCTCTCTATCAGTCAGTTTCTCTCACTCTCAGCCTGTATCTCTCTCTCTCTCTCAGAATGTTTCTCTCAACCAGACTCTTTCTCTCTCACTCTCACTCTCTCTCTCTCTCTCTCTCTCTCTCTCTCAATCAGTTTCTCGCAGCTTGTTTCTCTCAGACTGATAGTCTCTCTCAGGGCTCTCTCTCTCTCTCTCTCTCTCTATCACGCTCTCAGCTTTATTATTTCTCGGTCAGTCTCACTCTCAGCCTGTTTCTCCTTTTTTCTCTCAGTCTCTCCTTTTTATCTCTTAGTCTATTTTTCTGTGTATCTCCCTCGATTTCTCTCAACCTCACATTCTCTGAGTCTGCTTTTCTTTCGCCTTCTCTCTCCTTCTCGCTCCCAAATTTTATTATTCGGTCAGTCAGTCTCTCTCAGTTTATCTCTCTCTATCAGCCAGTTTCTAAGTCTGTTTACCTCCTCTTTTTTCTCTCATGCTACCACACACTCTCTCTTAGCTAGTTCTTTCTTTCTTTCTTTCTTTCTTTCAGCCTTTCTTTCAGCCTTTCTTTCAGCCTTTCTCTCTCAGTCAGCTTGTATCTATCTGCCCCCCTCTCTCAACCTGTCTCTCAGTCTGCTTCTCATCCTGTTTTTCTCTTTCTTGTCACCATCAATGATTAATTGTGTACACCTTTTTGGTATTTCGTTCAAAATTAACAAATGACAATGAGAATTGCTTTTATGATTCATTTTATCTCTTTTAACGAAATGTGCTTTGACAATTCATTCATCAGACAAGGATTAGTTTTAAAATTTTATCACTACTGTCCATTTGTTACCTCGACCTAAGTTGTACATTATCCGAGAGATATTTGCGTTGCTCAAAATCGTTTAGTGCGAGAGTTCGTCATGGAAACCAGACAGTACATCTATTTTTTTAGAAAAAGAATAAAAGAATTTGTTCATTTTCTGTCAGGTTTTGCGCTTGTTAAGTTCATTTTAGAGAAGAGTTCTTCGATGGAAAAGGTAAAAAGAACACTACATCGTAGATAGCATTAAGTGATTAATACATTTTGATCATCATCTTCAAAGTGCTGCCGCTGTTATTGCAATAGGTTAAATGCATATATATATATATATATATATATATATATATATATATATATATATATATATATATATATATATGTCATGTGATCCTGTGTGATCTAGCAACACCTCAACATATCACCAATTTTTGTTAATTTTCCATCACAATGTGTGATGCCAGACCCATCTTCTACTCCTCTTAGATCCTGTTTTTATATATATATATATATATATATATATATATATATATATATTTTTTAATGAAAGTAGTGTTGGCAGTAAAATCTTCCACTTCATTAGGAAATATATTTTTCATCCATTCGCGTGTTTTTAATAGTCCTGGGTATGACAATAAACTACATCCGGCAGCAAGGCCTCTGATCGGGAGTTTGGAGGTTTTGAGGAGTATGGAGCCACCTCTTATTGGTGTTGTTTCCAGGTCCACCCTGACCCGGGGTGTTAGCACCTGGTAGGGTCCCAGCTATGAGTAAATAGTGAATTCCTAAACAAAACACTATGCAAGTAAAAATACAAGCCAATCCTTTTTTATATAAAAGAGAAACTAGCAGCAATACCTATTTATAGTAAAATTACCAACAATACCTTTTATAACAAAATGACCAACAATACATTTTATCTGTAGTTGAGGGCATATGACTTTGCTTAAAATATATGTAGTTGAAGCCATAAAATTGCGTTCAAAGTATTTAGATTACGGCATTAAATAACCCATAGAGGTGTTGATATACTTCTAAACAAAATCAACCAAACATCTGGTCTTCAATTTAACTCGGAGGTCTTCACATATTTCCAGTTTATGTGTGATGTTTGTTAATATTTTTTCTCAAAACAACAGTTAAATTTTACTACGTGAACATTTTTTATTAATCTACTAACCAACTATCAAACACAGGAAATTTGTGTGCATATATATATATATATATATATATATATATATATATATATATATATATATATTGTGTCTATTTATTTATCTGGTTCTCGAATTATCTTCTTGGTGTTAAGTCGAAATTCATCAAGGAAGGCGCCATAGATTTTGTTATCCAAAGTACTTTTGATCTCATCTGAGATCATACTCAAGGGTGAATTGCAAAGAAAAACAATGTGAGAATTGTGAGGGCGTTTTTTTTTTTTGTAAACTCGCTGTTATAATTATTTTAAAATGTTAAATTTATCCGCCGTAGCTACGATGTTTTTTTTTGGTAAACAAGCGTCCACAATGTAAGGGAGCTAATCAAGGATGGTAAAAATGCAACATAGTGTTAAATGTTTGTCAAATGTATTTTAAAACAATTGTAACACAGTTATTAACGCTTATAATATAATTAATGTTTCGGCAACTTGCCGTTACATAGTCTGAAGACTGACTCTAAACGGCTTCTTCTTTCTCTTACCTTTGACCTAGAGCTCTTTATTTATAGTTATGGATGGTGTAGTATTTATTCCACAACATGCCTACTTTTGATATTAATACTTTTTATAAATATTTTTTTTACACTATTTACGTCCATGGCTCGGACTATCATTCTCATCTTTGTTGCCATATTTATCACGTTTCGGCCGTTGTACGCTGGTTGGAATGTCGAACATTCGCTCGCTTGGGTAGACTGTTCTAGATCCACATTCTCTGTTCTAGAGGACACATGGCACAGTGGATAAAGACCTTAGTTAGATCCAGTGACAGGACTCAAAGACTGTGAGTTCAATACCTGGTTAAAGCGGTGGAGAACTTGGAGAGGAGAATTAATAGGAGATAACTAATAACTGACATCCATGACACATGGAACTAGAACAAACTCTGCAAGCTTTCACTATTTTTTCAATATCTTGATCGAATATACAAAACCTCATCAGGTTTCATTCTTGAAATACTAGGATGTCCACTATGAAAATCCTTCAATATTAGGTTCTGTAAAGCACTAGATATTACAACCATTTGCCCGAACATTACTACAACGTTGCATAGGGGGGGGGGTAAGAGCTTAAGTCTGGATTTCGTTCTTTGTTACTATCTTTCAATTGTTTTTTATTTATTTTCGCAGTAAAGACGTAATTTCTGCTTTTTTTTTTATTTCTCCCAGGTTAACTCGTAACTCTCTGTTTTTTTTTTATTTCCATTTCGCGTTTTAGTGCTGCAATGACCGTGTCCTCAAATGGTTCCGCACTTTTAAGTATTAATCTTGATAATCTATCCGCATTTGCTAAATTTTTAAGTGGATGGTACGCCATCGTAAAATCATAGCTTAATAAGATTAATAATAATAACATACGTTGTAGTCTATTAACTGTATGCGTAGGTATTTCTTTCTTTGAAGCATATATTGTTAATACATGCCGTAACGCCTATATTAGTCTGAAGACCCAAGTGGCTACCTCCGACCTGGAACTCTTTATTTATAGTTATGTACTAGTTCTGTTTGAATCTTAATCTGATATTTCTTTATTATTATAAACCTTATTTTAGTAGGTACACATGTTTGAGTTGCTATCCTTGTTTTTTATTTACTTAAACAGTGAAATTAATTAACCAGCCTAGATCGAGAAGTCATCCTAAAGTAGAGAGATGTGCGTTCATTACATAGATAATTGCATGCGTCAACTTCACTCCATAATGCAATCTTCCTATCAAGTGGCACTGTTCCTTTAACAGGCTCTCTGCATATATCAGGAGACTATGAAGGGAAGTGGAGGCTTGGAGGAAAGTAACCCTTTCTGGTTTTTTAATCCTAATGCTTAGTTATATTTAGGGTCATGACCTCTTTATTTTTTGCGATTTATGTTATTTACTAATTATTTTATGCATTTATTTGTTGATTTTGTATATTTTCATTTCATGTATTTTTCTTTTTTTCTAAGTTTTGGCATTTGGACTATAGTTTATTCGACTTAGGTTGACTTTATTTGGTCTTTTTGGACATGATGTGATTGTAGGTAGTCGAGGAGGATTTTTATTTTGTGTCTGTGCTCAGAAATGATCTCAGTTCTTTGTTTTTACTAATTTCCGTCCATTACAGAGTGCAAAAGGCAGAGAGTTAATAAATAAGGTTGTTTTAAGAGCGGGAATAAGATATGTATATCAAATAGATAACGGTTGATTTCTTGAAGAAGTTAAAATTGTAGTGATCGGTAAAGCATCTGCTCAGGCGTCTGTTCCACAATCTGAGAATTCTTGGGAAGAACCAATGATTCTAGCTTGCCTGAACATCTGCCGTGAAAATAGCGATAGGCTAACGATAAGTACTTTCTGGAGCAGTAAAAACCGACCATTTTTCCAGCATCTTATACGATGAATTGTACATACAATTCTCACTTGAAGTATTGATTGAACTTGAGCACCAATAAATATTTTAGGCAAGGAGACTCTTTGACACCGTTCATGATGAATAGATAAAATCAGGGTCTGTTCTAGTATGATTAACCGTTACTAGCTTAGTTTCAGAAGTATTAACTATTGCAAACCAGTTCCTCCCCCTAGATATTTTTGATGGTGCTCCCATAAACTGTGTCATATATACACCAACAAAATGTATATACGCTTCAAGAAAAGAAAATTTTTATCAAGTTGCGATAACACTGTTTACTCAAGTCGATATTTTGAGGATTTAACACCTGCAAACTTTTACATATGAAAACCGATTACATTGGCCGTCCTTAGACAAGAAATTGAAAATGCATGTGAAGCAATCCAACTGCACACTTTGGCCAACTTTGCCCAAGCAGTAGTTTTCCGTACTAATAAATGTTTGGAAGCGAAACACCACTATTTTGAGCATCTCTTGTGATTGTAGAGTCCAAAGGTAACTTGTATTAATCTTGTGATGTCTGAATAAATTTAGTATTACAATATCTATCCTTTCCGGAAATGTGTAAACATTTTTTGGCAGACTCTCTCTGTTTCTTTCTCCTCGCTGTCTGTCTGTATATATATATATATATATATATATATATATATATATATATATATATATAAATATATAATAAAAAGCTTAAACACTAATATTCAATTTTTTATACAAAATATATATGTATGTGTATGCATGTATGTATATATATTTTTATGTATTTTGCATATGTATGTGTATATTTACCTATCTATCTATCTATTATCTATCTATCTATATATATATATATATCTATATATATATATATTTAATTAATTAATTAATTAATTAATTAATTCACCCATTCATGTGAGAAACCTAGGAATAAATGAGAGCGATCCGTGTCTATTTCTTATGTTTATGACTACCAGTTTAATGTGCACCGAAATAGACAATCATCAGGCAGCCGATATTTATTGTGTGTGTATTTGTGTTAAACATTTTTAAACATTTTTTTTTTAAATAACAAAAAGTATAAATTTTGTCTGAACAGCTTTTTTTTATTATTAATTAGCTTACCTTGAAGGTGAGATAGTTTCATGGATACCGATATTACAGGTTTGAGCCCAGGTAATAAAAGGATTTTGAAAACTGATTTTCTAGGTAATTAAACAGATATTTCTCAATAGGTATATTGGCGCAGCACACTCTTCTGAGCTTCACTTCCAGCAATTTGGCCTTGTGTTCGCACCATTAACAGCGTATTTCCCGAAGGTGCCAATTTTCGGCAATCGAGCTCTAGTTAAAAAAATAAAATAGAATATAAAATGCTGATTTTCAAGGCAGGAAAATGGTCCTACATCGAAGACGGGCTCAGAGCAATCTTTATTCCCATATTTTTTGTGTATTTCTTTTTAGCGTCAGTAATCGGCGATCAAAGTAAAGAAAAAACAAACAAAAACAGACATTCGAACGCTGATTTTCAAATCTTGAGAGATTGGCGCAATACACTCTTCGATCTGTTATTCTATTTTCCAATGGACCTTGAGACGTATTACATATCGGAAATATCAAGAGTAAGCCATGTATATGAAATGCTATGTAACTCACCAATTAAGCCAGCAAGTTATTTTACAATTCAAATAAATATGAAAGCGACACTATATCTTGTTTGTACGCTTAATTGCATTTAACATTATATTTCCCATTTTCGAAGGTATCTGTTTGCAAGTCATTACTTTTTATTAGCTCTTTACCCGACACAAAGCTTGGATCAAGTAATCTACATGCAATTTCTCTGTTAATTCCCCACAGAAAGTATTTTAATTCGTAATGGACTTGATACGGTGATTTTACTCCCGATAAAGAATCAACAAAAAACAATCCAGGCTTGTTTTTACTGCATTAGTTTGCATTACTTAGCTTATCTTTTGATCGGTCGTAAAGTGTTCAGATGGAACAAATCATCTTTCGTTTTTTTCCTTTAAAACTTTTTGTTTCTTGCAATAAAGCAAAGTAGACCCACTCTCGAGATAATAATTGCCGGTGACACAGAATATAGAATTCAAAACACGAATTGGGATTTTGATTTCAAGTGATGGTTAACAAAATAGAGATTTATGCCATTATTTGTGTAGTGATATTGATCCACAGTCGGTGTCCTGTACTTATGGCCGTGTACCAGATACAACTATACATCTGTTTGGATTTCTGGAATGAGGAATTATCATAACTTACACTTTGTTGTTACTATCATAACATTTCGGTCGTTGTGTCCTCCGGACTTCATCAGGGAATTTCGAATTGAATCCTTTATTTAAAGGCGGATTGTTCTCGTTCCGTTGACCATATCAATGAATATATGGCCTAATTCTTTAGTATTATTCACTTATTGCTTGCTATATTTACAACGGTCGAAATGTTGTGATAATAACAACAGAGACAAGAACAACAGTCAGTGAAAATAATGTAAATAAAACTAAACTTATTGAATAGGTCATGTCGTAGTGTAATGGTTAACAAGCTGATTTCGCGCAACCTTATCGTTAAATAGTGAATTCTATCTGAACTGTTGACGTACATATTTGTGCATTTATTCAAAAGATAAGGTAAACTTATTAAATACTGATTTTCTTTGTTAAGGTGGCAATGTAATGAATTAGATATCGGCTCCGAATGAGAAATCGGTGAGCCGTGTTCAATTTCCAGCTGGGCTTCTTACATTCACTTACGCGTAAATACCCTTGGAAAAGCATGAATCCACATTTTCTCTCTCAGCTATTGGTATTATAGCCTTGGTTGGCAACCAATCTACCACAGAAAGAAGTGCAAATTGCTGCAGGAAAATCTTCTACGAATGAAATTATGATTCTAAAGAGACAAAATCGTACAAGCGTGTATCACGTATGGAATTTAACTGACTAGCTATGGTAGTAATAGTTTTTTTTGTTAGTACAGTGTGGTCAATTAAAATAGTTATATGGGTGTGACTATGTTCTAATGCTGACCAACCCATACTTGAAACTTAACCTTAATGGCATGTCAGTGAGTAAAATCGTATCACTATATCCGGTTACGAGATAAAGTACTGGGAGAATTGGATTCATGTCTTTCCTAACGATATTAGAGTTATGTTAACATAAACAATAGTAGCCGAAATTCGAACTCAGTTTCTAGTGATGATAACCGTTACGTCATCCAAAAGTCTTTCGGGATTGATCGTCTTGCACAAATTAGAGGAGGTGTACAGAAAGAGCGGAAATGGAACTTTGTTTTTATAACCCCTTCAAGTTACATCTGTGTTTATATAAATACATTAGAAATAGCTAAGAAGCTTCTAGCAATTCTGACGTTTAACAAAACCAACTCAAAAGGAAAAAAAAAAGGAAATTAAATATAAATTGTTTCTTGTCCTTTTTTTCGCGGAATATAGCGAGGATTTGCAGAGTTGGTAGACAACTGGAATCGAAAAAGAAAAAGAAAATACAAAAAAATAAATATACGAAAATACAAGCAAAATTTGCAGCAGTTTTATTTTTATTTTTTTATCTTGATTTGCACATTAAAATTGTCATTAAATAGATATTTATTCTCAGTGTCATTTGTTTATATCGATTGAATTGCAATCTGAAGAGAGACAGATTTAAGCGAATATAGATATTTGCATTTCTTATATTGATTTCCAATTCCGTCTTACATCACGTGAAACTTGTTATCTTTGAATGAATTTAGCAGAATATCTTTCTGAACAAAAGAAATCTGTCGGAGATTCTCTTCAATGTGCTGCTTTGGGAAGGTTTGTTTGCGCAAGACAGAGAAAGGTTTTATTTTAAACATGAAAAAGAATGTTTCCACCGCCTAGACAGCTTTGTACTTGCACAAAATCTAGGTAGCTTTTGCGACCTCTCAGTCTAGAAGCAGCTTCACATATCAAGGTCTTCTGTTTGTATAAATAGCCAGATAGCATCCATCGCCGGCTCGTTCGGTCTATCGTCTAGCTTCGAGCATCTGATATTCCCCAGCGGTCACCTATTTAAGTAGTAATCAGGCTCAACGTTATTTAATTTCGGTATTCGGACGAGAACTGGTGTTTCAAGCTAATATAGCCGTAAGACGACTGAAGGATCAAATAAATAGCAATAAATTATAACAGCAAATATTTATTGTGGGGGACGAGTAAATTGTGTTCAGTGTTTATATTTGAAAAGGGCGCAAGATTTTCTGGAAGTTTATCACCAAATATTTTCTCCAATGGCAATTAAGATCAACGTGACCGATCATGGCTCTCCACAATTTCATATACTTAGTAGTTATAAACAGACTTTGTCTTCATATTATCCCCTATGTTCTGTCATCTATCGACACATTCTCCTTAGGTTTGATTTGGTTTGTTTTACGGCCGACAAAATTTTTTATTGCTGGTTTTTCAAAAATGTATCACTGGTAATTTTTTTTTCAAAAGTGTATTACTGGAAATAATGTATTGCTGGTTATATTTTTTACAAATTATTTCTGGTATTAAAACCTATTTTTACATTGTCATAGTGTTTCGACCCCAGTTTGGGGGTCAACTATTTGACCATAGTTGGGACCCTAACAGGTGCTACCACCCCGGGCTAAGGTGCACCTGGGAACACCAACAATTAAGAGGTGGTTCCACGCTTATCAAAACCTCCAGAGGTCTTGCTGTTGGGCGTAGTTTATCGTCTTATCCAGGACGCCGATGTAGTTTATCGTCATACCTAGGACGAAATCTTCTTAGGTAGATTACTAAATTTTTCCTTTTGTTTCTTTTGCCTTTAATACGCCCTGTGAGTGTCAAATTCTCCAAGCACTCTTCCTTTATTTTTTGAACTCTCTTTTTTTCTGACAAGCATTTTTGTTCCCGTTTGATTAAAACATCCTCATTGCGCATATGCTCTGCCTATGGTATTCTCAGCACATCTTCGTTACCTCAATTATCCTCTTCATCTGTGAGGAAATTGTCTAGCATTCACTGCCAAAGTGGTGAACAGATATTACATAGAAGTTCACAACTTTTTTGTTTGTTTCTAACAACATTTTTTAAATATTTTGCTTAGTTTTTGTAAGGCATTTTTCACTGTTCCAATGCACTTTCAGATATTTTTGCACCACATTTTTCATTGTGGGTTAAACACTCCTAGGTGGTAAAATCTATGAATTTGTTCGACACTGACGTCTTGGGATCTCCTTCTTGTTAATATTTATGCATTCTGTCATAAATAATTATTCTTTTCTTCACCCTTTCCTTTACTACATTTGCTAGTACAATGTGCAATTTTCTTTCTGCATCTGCTATCAATACGGTGTCATTTTTGTATCACGAAGCAGAAAAAACAATGCAGAGACGAGATTTATTTCAATTTGCTATGATGGTTGATTGAAGATCAAGAATACCAACCGACTTATTCAAAACTCGTCTTTCTAGGCGAGATCACGAGTTGAATAAACACGTCTATAGCTGCATGTGATGGAGACTTGGCAATCCCTTTTGTTTTTCACTCAGATAATTACTTGTTTATGATATCACGATAGGATTTGTTAAACAAACACATCAAAACGTTTATTCCCTCTAATGATTACATATATATCACATTCTGGCAGTGGTAAGGGAAATAAAACAATAATCATAGTTGTGTTTCATCATAGCCTGAACACGGGAAGAGTATTTTTTTCCTTTTATTTTACTCGCTGATTTTACTGTTCTATCACTAACCCGATCAACGATCGTTATTTCCTGTACTTAAAAAGTAGGCATTTGTGTTGAGAGAATGAAGAAAATATGATCATTAAGCGTCGCGTTTTGCCGTTAATGCTAGCATTATTGACAAAACTGGGCTATAAAATTTTGTAATCATTTCACCCCAAGGAAGGCGGCAATGCCACCAGTACGCAGAGGGAGATAATAGATTTAGTATAGGGAGAATTGAGGAAAAGACATAAGATGAACGGGATTCAAGAATATAGAAGCGCGAGAAAAGAAATTGTTAGAGTGGAAGTGACGGTTGCACTTAGTTATTTCAAGAGTAAATGGGTGGGACCTAGATGCCAATCTAGTAGTACGCTTAAATTCATGTAGTCGGGGTACCAGGAAAAAAAAGCTCATCAGAGCAGTTGCCTTGAAAATATTTGTAGAAAAGACAGAGGGAAGACACGTCACATCGATGACAAAATGATTGAAGTCAAGATGACAGGTCAAGATTGATTATATTTTAGATCCTTCTTTGGATTTTCTCAAGAAGCTCGAGATGAACAGCACCAGGCCAGATATGGCAACAGTATTCAATGCACGAACGAATGGTAAATTTGTAAATGAGATGGACTCTGATGAGAAAAATTGTATAATAGTGTATAATACAAATATATCACGCTAATAGAAATGCAGTGAAAATCAAGAAGAAAGGGTTTTCCAGTATTCAGGAATTAAGTAAAGTTAAGGCAATGACGTTACTTCTCGCCGGACATAGTCAACCTTCACAGTAAGGTGGTTCATGAGAGAATTAAAAGTTCTACCAGGATTCATTATTAGCGGTCATAATCTTAACAACATAAGATACTTATGACCCAGTGTTGATAGAAAATTACGGGGAACTCCTAGAGAAGGTAAAAAAAGAATAAATTAAGGGTGAAGAAAGACAAATATCAATTGTAAGAAGAAAGTATGTATTGTTGTCATCAAAAGGAACAGCCCAAGATGCGAACTATGAATTAGACACACCAGAATAAAACAGGTACGAAAATTTAAATAGGAGGACGAAAAATGTGACACCGAAATTCGAAGACTTATTGGAATAGCAAAATATGCCTTCCAAAAGCTAAGCAAGATATGAAGAAACAGAAATATTTCATTAGAAACAAAGAAAAGAGTGCTGGACTGTTATGTAATATCGGACTTCCACTATGGTAGTAAATACTAGATAATCTTCTTACAGATGAAGAAGAGACTTGAGGCAGTAGAAATCTGATTTTACAAAAAGATACTGAGAATATCCTGGACTGAACATGTGAGCAACGACGAGGTTTTCGGGAAAAATGGAAACCTAAAATACATTTAGAATTAGAAAGAGACAGTTTAAATTCATGGGACATAACGAGAAAACAGGGCCTGGAGAATTTGACACATAGGCTATATTGAAGGCAAGAGGTGCAGAGTGGAACAGCGAATAACTTACCTAACGAGCTTGTGTAAATGGATAGAAGAATATGGACCTTGAAGAAGTGTAAGGAGACAAACCTTGTTAAGTGCTGCAAAGGATAGGGATGTCGGTGAGATCCATTGATATCCAACGTTTTAAATGAATAAAGCAAATGAAAGAAGAAAGAATAATATATAGTATTATATAGAACATTTTTTTTCACCCAAAAGATTATCTATAACTAGTGTCTCTTTGACCCAAAAGAATTTGATGATTAAAATTCTCCGAGTCATTGTAACTAATATAAATATTAGGCCCTACAAAACAGAATTTGTCAAAATTTCATAAAAAGAAACGAGTGAATCTGTGTGTGTGTGTGTGGGGGTAACATATCTAAAACAACTATATTCCCAAGATTTTCTATAAAGAAAATATTTCAAAAATAATTTCATTCATTTTTAAATAAGTTATGAACGTTTCATTAAAATCCAACGATTATCAGTTTTTTGCAAGAATTTCCAAATAAATAAAACATTTATTTTAAAACATTTATTTATTCACTGTAAAAAGACGCTCAAATTTTCTGTACAAGTTTACGATCCCATGTTGATGACAGAAAAAACAAAATTTTTAATCAAAATGTGGAGGTTGTAAAATGGGTTAAAAAATAAATTTTACAAAACAAAAATCCTTTGCTCTTTCCTCTTAATAACACAAAGATTTTGACGATAAAACCTTGTTTTTATTAAGATTGAGACATTTTTCATAATATATGCTCATTTTAGGGAATCTTTGGAGGTACTTAGTAAAACATTACAGATTAATACAAAAGTGCATTGCAGATGGAGAAAATGAATTTTTAGTTGTCAGGAATTGACACTGACAAAACAAAATCATTGTATATCAAATGTAAAGGTATTGCTATTGATTTTATTTAAGAATGCAATGTAAAAGATTTACCGTAGAAATAGATCCAAACTAAGGTAGGAATATTTGTCAGTTTTACTAAAAGAATAAGGCTATTATGCTTATATGATCTAAACCAGCAGCATGACCCGACGTTGCCCGTGTTTGATTCAAAAATCGTACGACTCATACAGCAATCGCTATAACTTGACTTAAAATATTTTTGCCCTTCCTTGCCTTTAAAGGAGTGCCCTTTGCCGTGCTGATGTTGCTACATGCCTTACTTCTTGCCTATCTCACACTGCAAATTTTTTCTAAGATCTATACTAAACATTAAATCTGTTACGAAAAAAGAACTAAACAAAATGAACACAAAACGATCAGCTTTAAAAAGGACTCGTAACTGGAAAAACCGAATGAAAAAATAATGTTAACAACAAATACTTTTTCACGCCCAACCCAGTTCTGCGGAATCAGAAGCAAGCGAATGAGACAATTGGAGCAAAGTGCCGTGCAGATTTAAATTTTCCCCACTTGTGACGAATGCAACTATCGATTTTTTTTTGCATGCTAGCATGCTAGTTAACATTCGTGTCAGTCAGCTATAGGCTCTCACTCTGGTCAGTAGAAAATGGCCGCAAACTACATGAAAACTGCCGTAGAAGCATGAAAAAATCGATTATTTCCACTATCGATGGCCTTCCCGCTAATTTGGAGCATGTGCATGTAAATTTTGGTGCAAATCCGTCGAAAATTGTGGCCGTGTATTCGTTACACACACACACACACACACACACACACACACACACACACACACACACACACACACACACACATCCCGCCTTTTATAGATAGAGATACATTTCTAATATTTTTTCTATAGAAATGAATTAAAATTATGTTACTATAGAAACACACGGAAAATCAAAAAAAAAGGAATTGTCATTGAACCAATCATTATAACAAGATAGAATTATTATAATTATGTATTTAAGTTTATGTGAGAATCTAATCTTAAAGTGATTATGTTAAGGTTCGTAAATCATATT